AACTGCTGGGAGTAACCTTGAAAAGACTGGCATGTAGCCTTTTTGCTCACCCAAGAAGGGTCATGAGAATAGCACCAAATGAAGTGATATGAAATAGCATGAACAAAAAATGTGATTCTCAGAGGGATAGGATGTTCAAAAAAGAGCACTTTAGTGGGTGGGGTGTAGACATTTTTTCTGCAAACAACACATAAAAATGGTAAATATGATTTGCCTTACAGGTGATGGAGCCAAGCTTCAGAGCACAATTTGGTAATGTGAACCGGTGGTTTCTCACCATTGTGAATCAGCCTCAGTTCAAGAAGATCCTTGGTGAAGTGAAACTTTGCGAAACCATGGCTAAATTTGATGGTAGGCCCCAGTTTCTCCATGTGGTGAACTAAAACAGGCCCAATAGTCCATTTTACAGTTGTTTGCTTGGTTGCCAAGCCTTTGAACAGGGTGACCTTGTTGTGATACAAACCTTGCTGTTTTTCAAATGCAAATTACAAAATGCATGTTATCATGCTAACTAGATATTGGTCTCTATCACCACAAGGTCACCTTCAGCCTCACTCCAAATCAAAAGCTTGGCTACTAAGTACACAACTGTAAAATCGCCTTTTACAAGATTTAATCCATTTAACCCTAAGAGTGACCAGCATCTAATTCCTCTTTACAGTAATACTGCTAAATCATTCATTAACATCTTTAGAATGAAGGAAATGATCACCAACCAAAGGAACTCTAATTGTTAAAAAATTCTCCTTTTGAGGAACTTAGGAAATGTGTGGAGAGGAGTATAGAGGATATGGTTACTGATGTCAGGGTGTAAAGGGTTAACCTTGTACACGTTAATATCAGTATGCAGGTTCTCCATACTGTTTTCTGTACAATCCCTAAGGTGCTGATTGGAGAATTAGTTAAAAATTAAGAGAGTCTTCAGCTGGTGATCATTTCCTTTATTCTCATGACCTTAATGTGGGATTCAGGGAAGGTGTTGTAAGGAGAAATTAGATGCTAGTCACTCTTAGGGGTTAAAGGGTTAATAAATTTTGATCAACTCACAGAAGGTAAATTTACTTCTGGGACCTGGGTCTGGCCTTAGGAAGCTACCTCAGTGCCTGAAAGAAGGCTGGGATTAGCACTAGGAAGGATTAAAGAAAGGAAAGGCTGATAGATTTAAATTTTTTTCAAGCCTCAGAGTGTACTCCTTTTTTTGACCCAGCTTTGGGGTATAGTACAGTTCAGAGGTAGATGGCCAACACACATGCACATCCTCACAAATTTTGCATGGTCTGCTTGCAACAAAGTGCACATCAAAGCGCATTTCTTGAGTGCATTTTTGCTTTTGTTATTCAACCCAGTCAACTTACATTGTTCTGCATTGTTTCAGAAAATATAAGATCCCTGTTTCAGAATGCCTCTGTCGAAGCAACAAATTAACATTTGCATATCTCAATACCTAAAGGATGCAATGGCTGCTGTTTCAATGAAACATTGAAATGAGTTGTCATGATACCACTAGCATTTTGTAAAATATGTTTGTGTTAAGATATGAATTACAAACTTGATACACCATAAGCTCTTTATTATTCCCTTTATTAGAAAATATTCAGCATATCTTTGTTAGGTAACAGAATCTGCATCCTGGCCAGTAGGAATGTAAAACAAACAGTCAGGGTAAAAATAAGCTGATGGGGAGTTAAACATTAAAGTCAATTTATTTTTCTTTACCTCTACAGGGAAGAAATTTGCTGAACTCCATCCAAAGAAAGATGAGAAGAAGGATAAGAAAGCCAAATCACCCAAAGAGGAGAAGCCAAAACAAGAACAGCCCAAGAAAGAAAAGAAGGAAAAACCCAAAAAAGAAGAGGATGATGAGGTGGATGACGTACCAAAGGAACCAAAATCTAAGGATCCATATGCTGGCCTACCAAAGAGGTTAGGAGAATTCTACCTTCCAAACCTACAGGCAGGG